TAATTAGCTCCGATACTGTGATTAATCAAGTGCAGTGAACAGAAATTAATCCTTTCGGGATACAACTACAGTATATTGGCAGCTTTTTCCCCCTCTCAGTACATCAAAATGTAAGTTAGCTTACTTTAATGCAGGGTTCATCGAAACCTTGATGTAGTTGACCAAAATATTTCTCAGAAGTCAGAACACTCATTTATAAAACCGAGATTTAATTTTCCTATTTGATGGCATGCGTAAAGAAAAACACGAGGGGAAAAATGCGACGCAGTTCCGAACGAAGAAAACACGAACCATTCGCATGGAAGCCTCTTACTCGAGCAAATCAACAGATTTAAAACAACAAAAAAAGGAAGCCAAGGTTATCAATCTTTCAGGAGCTTTCGCAGTGAGGAGCAGGGCAGAACACGCGAAGAACACGTGCCCAGAATGAGACCAAAATTGCATCAATTTCTCTCAAGTTTTGGCCACCATAAAAATAAAGGGAATTCAGGAGCCAATAATTCGTCTTCCTCGTCGCGCTCTGCCCGCTGGCCTCACGCGAACCCCAAGCGTGACCCCAAAATCAGTTATTTGAAATACTTTTTTTTTTCCTTCTGTCAATTGGAGACACAGACGATCAACTGGCTCTACAATTTCCGTGCAAGATCAGCGTACGGGATTAAATTTCGATCAAAAATGCAAGAGGGTTCCTCTAAGCTCAGCCCAACAATATATACCAAAGGCACGTTCCCTTTGCCTGAATTTTACAGCTATTGTGAAAGTGCCTCACGTGCTTCAAGATTCACGAAAGTTATGAACACATCATTATGAAATTTTTGTCAAAGCAGAGCGAGACAGAGAGAAAGAAGGAAACACATCTAGGCATCATCTCGATAAGATTTAAGAGCCCAAGGAAGGAAAAATTGACCTTTCCGAAATAAAGCCCAGTGAGATTCATCAACTGCTAATCAAACAAATAATGTTCAAGTTGAGTTTTCCTCAGGATGCCACGAATTTTCGCCTCATCTCTCGTTTTGACAAATCATCATGGCTGTCTTCGATCCCTTAATATCCTCTCTCATTACCACGACGTATTTAGTTCTGGAGTCGAAACGTTTCGCTTCCTTCTCTCGCGTGATACCAAGATTTCCCTCCACTTTTTATCGATTGTCTTCATTTGACTGGAATTTCATCACTGTATGTTCATAACCCCAAAGAATTCCGTTTTTGTGCTTCTAGTTGAGCGTGATTTACCAAATATATTTCGAAGATTCGCTTTCCACTCAAATCCTCGTTTTACAAATGTTAACGCTAATATTGCGGAACCCACAAGCATACGTTGAATGACGATGCTAAGTCTATCAAAAATCGTAACTCGTATTCTCGCATGCAGAGAGGAATCGTTTTACCCCAACGAGCAACCAACAATAGTTCAAATTACGTCCTCGATAAAAAATGGGGAGGTCAAACAAGTGACGTAAGCGTGAAAAAGACCTGGTTAACTGCAAGGGTGTTCTTCGCTCATCATCAAACCGAGCAACGATATGGAAATCTCAAGATCACGAAAAAGCAAAATGCTTTCAGAACAAGGCCACGGGCAAAACTCGACGAAAAAAAAGCGATGCAGATTTTTCTTTCTTTCTTTTTCAATTTCAACTGCAAGAAAAGAAGAAAAAAACAAAACAAAAAACACAGAAGAAAATGTGACAGCCAGAGCTCCGATGTCCAGACGCCAATTTCGGTCTCACCCCAAACATGCCACAAAAAATTCCTTCTTCGCTCCGTTCCAACTTACCAAACCCCCCAGTGGACTCACGGCTTTTCTCTTTCTTTCTTTTTTTTCCTCTTTTCTTTTTTTCGAGTCAAAAATACCCGGACAACCCATGATTATCACCGCGTCAAAAATGAGTCGCTAATTGCGGACCAAAAACCAACATTTGATCACAGCGGGTTCGAATCATTTGATGCTTCAATTCCACTGGTAGTTGGGGTACAAGGTCGACGACGGCACACCGTTACACCGCGGCCAAGACCTCACTGCGAAAGCCCCAAAACAGACGAGAAAAGAGAGGGAGAGAACGAAGAAAAGCCATCGTGAATTTTTCAATCAATCAGAAAATTTCAACGCAGTATAAACCAAATTACAATTTAGCTTACATGTTAATCATGAAATAAATGCCATCAGTTGAATACCCGAATTCTCCACAAATACGGAATCTGCGAATCAATCGCTTATTTGCAAAATATCGGGTGTCCAAGAAGTTATTGGGCAGTTGAAATGTTCAAACCCACGTGACGCATTTTTGCATGTACACTAGAATGACGAATTGTTTTCGTACGGGACAGAGTCACGATTTTATTTATATTTTACACTGAGTCAAGTTATAAAACTGCATATGAATCTCAGTTCTTACCACTGTAAGCATGGAAGAATTGACTGAGCTCTGCTAGCAATTTACATAAAATCTGGGGCGAGCAATTCTTCCGAAATTTTCAACCAAATTAGTCTTAAGCTTTCGCCAGCAAATTAACGACCAACTTTAAAAGACTTCCGTCTTCGTTCAACACAATTAGTGTGGAATACCTAAAAAGCTGATTTTCTCCTGCACATTAACTCTTCGAACACCCCGTCAACGAATGTCCATTCCCCCTTATCTACGACCCACGAAATCTTTTTGCGCGAGAAAAACAATTTACAGGAAGTTAATTCGAAATAATTCGGTTTAGATCCACGGAAACACGTCATTGCTGCAGTCGTCAAACGCATATTCGACGCATAAAGAAAACAATTCGGTGGAATTCCCCTATTAATCCAAAGAATATAAAGAAGTATTTTCATCAACAAATTACGCGAATCAACAGGTACTTACTAATTAGTGAACTCACTACGCTATTCCTAACATTCGTCCAAACGAAATGGACTTCTCATTGTTCAAGAAATGCCAAAGATTATCAACTACCCACCAACTGTGAAATCTGAGGTTGTTACTCAAGAACTCAGGAGCATCTCTCAAAATGTCGATTGTTCAGGAGATTTTAGCAATTCATAATTCCGCGGATGTAAAAACGCCGTTTATGATGGAAAGAGAACTGGAAAAAAATATGCCCGCAAGCCTCGCACGCCCCAAGACGAGATCAAACATAAATATCCAACACCGCGTAAAGCAGAAACACATAATTCAGTCTCCCCTCATTCAATCACACGTACTGTTCCAGTTTTGAGCTCAGAAGAATGCAACCACATCCATCCGTGTCGGAGAAGCTCTCGAAAAGAAAATCGTCGCGCTCGACAATGGGGAAAAAAATTCTAAAAAAAAAAGAAAGAAAAACTCCGCTTTTACGCGCGGTTGTCTAGAGAAAAGAAAAAAACGGTCCGAATCTTCTCCCAATCGCGGGATTTTCTTAAGCAAATATAGCGGAGTGGATTTCTTTCCCTCGTGCGAAAAAAAGAAAAGAAAAGACGCAGCAGGAAGAATATGATTTCCATCTCCGGACGTTTTTCCTCATTTTCAGTACACCGAAATGGAATACGAATATTTTAGGGGGTATTGCGGCAGGAACACACCGTGAACAAACGAGCAAATATATTCGCTAACAGCGCCCTATTTCTTACGGGGTTTTTCTTTCTCCAAGTATCTCCCCGTCTTGGCGACTCTTTTCGGCACAGTTATTTTGGCATCTCGATGGAAAAGGCGTCTGGACGCATGAACACAATCGAAAGAAAGGGGAATCATTCTTTTCGGTCACGACTAACTGAACTTCAATTCGAAAGCTCGACGAGATTTTTCATCATAAAGGACGAAGACACGCAGATCAAACCTCGTCCGGAAATTGAACGAATAAATAACCAGTGTAACGAGAAATCAAACGTTTGTAAGCTCCGGTTTCAATTCTCCGAAGAAGGATTCTTCAGCGTAAAGAAGAATACGGTGACTAAAAAATTGCTACAGTGACATTCAGGCTGGCGATACGAAATCAAATACACTAACAAGAAAGAACTACAATTTACCAAGAAAAAATTAAGCTAGCTTTTCCACGGGGCAAAGGAATCACTCAAAAGATTTTATTTAGCTTGAGCTTTTACCTTACTGATAAAATTAATCCAAGTTCTTTTCTCAAGAGACACTACTAACTTCATCGGTTTAGAATTGAACATTCACTCAAAAAACATAAGTGCCTCATCATGATCAACACGAGGGAACATTTTTATTCCAAGAAGTCGGCCAATTTTAGTGCATATCATGATTCTCGAGATAATTTTGCTTCATGCCAAAAATGAAAAAATAAATAAATAAATGCATCCTCCTATGCTCCGATTACAATGTCATAGAGTTTGTTCATTCGAACTTCATTTAAAAAGGGTCTTTTGCAATCAAGAAAACAAAACTGCAACAGAATTCCGCACACAAGAGAATTACCTGTATTAATAAACGAACAGAAGAATTTAAAAATTGTTTTCCGGCCAAAGAGCAGTTGACTGGAACAGGGAAAAAACAAACGAGGTTTGATCTGCGGTTAAAATAGTTAATACAGTGGTACCCCGGATAATGGACGCCTAACACAACGGACAACACTTCGGATAATGTGTTGCATGTAAAATGATTGTCCTAAAAACATCCAAATTTCCGTAGAAAATACTCGCTACCGAAACCATTGGTGAAGAGGATGAAACCGGCCCTTATTTATTGTGTTTGTCATTTTTCGCTTTTTCCTCCGTGTTTTTGCTATTACAGTATTTTACATTTGATGTTAGTCATATACAGTATTTACGAAAAAATTTATTCGGGAAATTTTCATGGGATCCGGAACGAATGCGTCATTCCCATGTACAGTAGATACGGTCATTTGGTGACTTCTAGAAGGGTTAGAACCGATTAAATTTTCAATAGAGATTTACATTATTTCGTTGATGAACTTTTTTTTTGAATAATGGTCTCATCCCTGGAACTGATCAAGTCCCGCCCGAGGCACCACCGTAATTCTCCGAGGGCAGTTTTCATTGCTGACTGCAAATGAGACCTTCAGTACTCCTCATCGTCGAATATCTCGACAACCTCGACGACCTCTCCCCCACTATCCACTGGTCGACAAATCCCGGAAACCACGTCGACTTCCATTTGCACCCGGTGCCTCTTCTTCCTCCTGCGCTTCCGCACAGTCCCATCCTCGGGGGTTTCCCTCGCTAACCCGGGTTCCACATCTACCCCAGCCGGCAATTGTTCATCCACTGACCTCACACTCGGTGACCTGGCTTCGGGAGACTGCGAATCCGCGCTGCTATGCGAAATGGTTAGAAACGGATTAAAAGTTCCTGTATCTCCGGGCGTCGGAGACGGGCTTTTATCCACGGATTGCGTGAAAGACCGATGGAACAAAAATCCGCGCGTCGACGAAGTGAATCCACGTCCCGTGTCTCGAACATCTTCCGGCGGATCCGGAAACTCTTCGGACGCATCTTGCGACGGCTGCGCGGATTCCGAGTCCGTTGGAGGCGGCGGTGGCGGCAACGGCAAATCTGTGCTCGACCCCTGTCGTGGCACCAATCCGTTGCATTTAGAATTAGACAACGAAGACTCCTCTGAGCTGTTTGTTCGATCAATGTATGATATGTCGCTGAAATCGCTGTTGAGATTGATGGCGGCGGGCTTGGAAGTCGTTCGCGGAGGAACCGGAGGAGGCGGAGAAGCATTCCTCCTTACCGTGCCCTTGCCTTCTTCCAATTCGTCGTCTTCATCTTCCTCGTCGTCGTCATCATCGTCGTCGTCGTCGTCGTCATCGGTTTCTATGTCCCCGAGCAATTCCAGCGCTTGATTCAGAGACTCCACATCCGAGTCATGCACGGTCTCCTCTGTCGACGAACTGGATTCGTCGCCGTCACCACGAAGCATCGTTTTTCCCGGATGAAAATCCGCGTCCACGTGCGTCACCGTCACTTCCGTCAGCGAACTGTCACCGGCAGGAACCATCGCCGACGATGGTGGACTCGGCAATCCGTCGCTGGAACAAACCTCGTTACTCAATCCCCGCTGCAACTTGCCATTCTGCGACGACTTTAAGACCGGCGGCGGGGAATTCGTCGTCGTCACACTGTCCGACTCACGACCCAAGGAACAATCTTCAGGCTCCGACGCGTGTTCACTGATTCGGGACAGAGTTCGGATTAAACCCGAGCCCGCGGCGCCCGTAGAAGGAGCCGGCGGCGTGGGTTTGCTGTATAAAACGTCCCTCCACAAATCCTCACTTGGTCCATCACTCCCCGCGTCCAGGTCTGAGTCCATTTCTTTGATGGACGATCCGATCGCATCGTAGGGAGTGGCGTACGGTCCAGAACCCGACTCGGTTTCTTCCTCGTCATCGTATCCTCGTTCCGGCTGACTGTCCTCCGTTTCTTCTTCGTCTTCCCGGGGCTCTTCCGCATCGGATATCTCCGGCAGCAAATCCGGTTTCACGGGTTTCGGGGCCGGCAAAGGTGCAGGAGCAGGAGGAATGTCTCGCGGTTTGGCAAAAAGTTTCGGCTTCGCGGGCAACGGAGGCTTCACCGCGACCGTTGGAGGAGGAGGAGGAGCAGGGGAAGGAACAGAAACAGGAACCGGAGACGGTTCTTCCGACACCAAAGACGAAGATTCCGCGCTGGTCACCGAGTCCCCGCGCTCCAGCGACGCTGCTTCAAAGCGATTCATAAAGTTCTCGTCGAAGTCCTTGGGTGTCGGCGGAGTGATCTCGAGCCGCAACGGGACACCAGCAGAAAGGAGTTGCGCCGCCTTATTGAGGCCGTCGTTGTCGGGCCGAAGCAGGCCAGCACGCTGAAGGACTTCACTCACTGAGTTGTCCTCCAGGCTCTGACCGCGCTCCAGCTCGCGCAGGATTTCGCGCTCCAGCGACCCCACGGAGCACTCGTCCTCGTCAACGACGGCCGCCGACCCGTTTTTTGACACCACGGGTGTATCGTCTTGCACGGACCCGACGGAAGATTCGTTCGTCGTCGACCGACTCCGGTAATTCGCACGCCGGTCAAGCAACGACCCCTTCCGTACAACAGCGCCGACTTCTTCGACAAATACTATGGGTTCCGGAACGTTGCCGCCACCGCCACCCCCAGTCGTGCCAACTACCATCGTGCCGCCTTCTTCGATCGTGTCATCGCGGAAAGACAGCGTCGTCGGATCCGGAAGGTCCGCATTGGCCCGGTGTTCGGGTGAGGATTCGTTGCTGGAACTAGACAGGCCTTGAGCGTAGCCGCCGCCGCCACCAGAACTGCGATGATACGCGTCCAAGCACAGCGACTTCTGACGCTGCACCGGCGGCGGTTTCTTCGACATTCTCGGGAGCGTCTCGCTCAGTCGGGGATCCCTTGCTCGGAACGCAGCCGCCTCTTCACTCACCAGCCTACGATGCAACACGTACGGAATGGATGTTGGGTATTCCCTTTGTCCTAAACCTCGCCAGCTAACTCCATTGCCGCCGCCGCCACCACTGCCGCCTTCGCTTTTCGTCGCACGGAGTTCCCCTTCCAAAGAACTTTCGCTGCTCGACAACGCTCTTCGACTATTGCCCAAGGAACGGGATTGCACGCATTCTTTGCACAAACACGTCGGCGCGGAACCGCGGATCTGGGGAGTCATCGAGGCTCCTTCGGCTTCTAGCAACTCGTAGCTTTCGTGGGAAAGGTTATCTTCGAAATTACGATACGTGTCTTCCGGAGACGCTAATCGGAAATCGTTTCCTTCGTTGAACATGCCGCAATCGACGCCGCCGTCATCGTCATCGTCTTCGTAAAGACGCTTGACGCGCGAGGCTCTGGGAAATGAGTGTCGATTGGCGCCGCCGCGACGCAAACTAGATGCCTTTTCGTTATCGTCATAACAACCCCCACCGCCGCCGCCGTCAGAATACAACTGCGAGTCACTCTGAGATCGCGCAACCATGACGTTCTTTTCAATCACCGTGTCCCCGACGCGCGAATTCGCTGATGAAACATCGCCGACCGATGACAGATCGTCTTCGTCCTGCACCGACGGCAAAACCTGCGTCGTCGGCATCTCATAACGAAACGGCACTCCACCCACGCCCGCGATAGAGGAATACACTGAAGACGAGCAATAAGAGTCGGCAGACGCGGAAGAATACTCGAAAGAAGAAGAATCTCCACCACCGGGAGGGCCGCGACGAACGCCGACAACACCCCTGCGTTTACCCACAAAACCCTGACCTGGTGCGACGTTCCGGTGAGCCCATGTGCGACGCGGCGACGACGAGAACTCGTCGTCGTCGGTTGTGGCGGCTCGCTGCGGCGATGACGTCACTGATGTGGTTTGCTTTGACGTCGACGGTGTTTCGGGCAGCTCGTAGTGATGGCCAGCACCGCCGCGCTTCATTTGCATTTGGTCGCCGGGACGGGAGCATTCCTCGTGGCGTCGTTCCTCGTACTCCGGCAAGTCGCCACCGGGATCCGTGTGCGACGGGGACACCGGGGAATGGGCGCCGCGGAGACCCGACGCTACCGAGTCGCCCGTGCGCCGTGATAGCGTTCCGCCACCGCCAAGGCTACCCCGACCGCCGTGAGATAGGCTAATGGAGCCCATGGACTGTGCACCTGCACAGGTCACATGAATCAAAATTAATAATTATCGCCATGTGACACACTCCCATTATTTTCATCAATACTGAGCTTCCTCGTTTCAGTTTTGATGTTTAACTGCACAAACTTGCTTTACGATTTTTTTTTTAAGAATGCTCAACTAATTCGCAGTTGGTTTAAGGAGAGTAAAAAATAAAAAAATTCTGAAGAACCAGAAACTCTTCTCTGGGGTCAAAGAATAATTTATCAAATTCGGTATACGATTCTTTTGAACTACCAATACTCCAGCATCCCAAGTTTAGTTCAGCTGGGTTCCACCTTTTTCCTTCCTTCAAGCATGTGCGTAGTAATGAGAATAACGTGATGCAATATACATTAGTTCAGTGGATTTTACGGCACTGAGTTCTTGCTGAATACAATGAAATCGTTTTTTTTTTCAAGTACATGAAATCAATAATGCATTGAAAACATAAAACCTTACCACTGAGAGCGTCGCCGATAGGCAACAAAGGATGAGGTATTCCCACTCCACCTCTATCAAGAGCGGAACCAACATTTGGATGAGATCCTAGGACTGAATGGAGCGGTTGTCGAAACGATTGAGACCTGCAAGGAAATTCCCTTTTCACAGGATGTCGAGAACTAAAAGTACCTCGCACTCACGCTAACCTCTGGAAAGATTGTCGCTTCACGAAATTCCCTCGCACGAAATCCATCATCTCTTTCTGAGTTTTTCCTACGTATCTGGCGAAGAAAAATCGGGAGCTTCATGTGATAAAGACACGTGGTGTATGCAAAGGCTGAAAAGCAATTACCGAAAGGACGAGCCTCTTGACATAACTTTTGGTCGGTGTCGAGGAATGCGTTTGACTGATGAACACCGGAAGAAACCATGATGTTCCACGCATTTTTTCCAAAAATTCTTGCATTCGTCTCTTCCATCAAAGAAAAATTCTACCTGGTCCTTGTAATACTTCCGCTGAAAAAAATTTTTCAACAAAAATACAGTCTATTGTCTTTTCCGGTGATTCATGCAAAGAAAATACTTGATTTTGTACCAGAAAAAAAAATTCCTCTTAGTAGTCTAGCCAAATGAATTTTAAAAAAGTGACGCGTCACATATGTATATTCGTTCAATTCGAGATATTGTTTAACGATTGAAGTTCGGTAATCATTCAGAGAATTATTTCCGAGCGAGAAGAAAAAATCAGCTTACCCCGATACTGACGCATCCTTCAGGATGCAACTTCACTAAAAATTTTCTGCGCTTGAAACTCAATTTACGAATTTTCGCCCACGAGAAGGTGTTGATTTTCGCAACCTTTTGAAACACTATCAGTCCCATGTGAGCAACTGTCAAATTAAGCGGAACCCCTTCGTGGTCTTTCGCCGGTGTCATTTTCATGCCGTAAAATTCACATCGCCTCGCAGTTTCAAGCAAATTCAAGTCCGCCTCCGCTGGAGTTTGTCCTCTGCAAAAATAAGAATGCGTAAACATTTTTTTTTTCAAGATAACGAAAGCTTTTCAAAGGAATCTTTTTTGCAATTTTACAACATATTCGAATCAAAAATAGAGAATATATTTCCTTACACGTGTTTTTTGTGATTCTCCATTATGAGGCGTTCTAACTCCTCGCTTTGATGTGGCACAAATTTGTAACTAGAAAGGTAAGAGGAATCCGGGTAATCCTCTGGCGCATAATCCCCACTTTCGGCTGAAAACAATCGGAAAAAGTGTTTATGCAAATTAATACAATGTACAGAAATAATATATGCAGTAGATCTGGGATGAACTGAAGGTGAATACATTCAATTACTCTCGGAATTCGAGGTTTACATGAGCTATCCCAGAGTCATCAAATTTTACGAGTTATTTTGAAGAACAACGTTCTCTCATTCTATCTTTTAGGTACGAAATTACCATGGTACGATATCCTCAGGCCGACTTTATCCCATTCAAACGATTTTTCCCAGGCTCATCATAAGTACTGTAATTTGATTTCGACAGAAACCAAAATAAGACGATTTTTCGCACCGCCATGGCTTCGAAATACAAAATTTACTCCAGTGCCACCCGCACCTCGTTTCTAATGAGAAGAAAAACGAGAGGGTGCGCATCGTACTTTATTGAAAACATGAATTTTCAGACAATTTATGAAGACAATTTTCAAAATGGAAATAATTGAAAAATCAACGTTCAACTTGACAACAATCAAAGTCAAACTTTAAATTATGATGCATTTTATTTCAACATTTTTAAAATTTTTAGTTTAATCTTTTTTTTTCTAAAAAATAGGCTCGCGTTTTACTAGGGAAACACTTTTATCCAGATTTTAGGCCGAAAAATTCGAGTGCGCCCCTTACTCGAGAGAACGTGGTACTCAAGTAAATAAAATACGTACTCGAGTTCAAATACTTCATAGTTTATACAGTATAATAGATTAATTCTCTGAACTTGGTTCAGAAAAACTCGATAGCTTTTACGAGTTTTACGAATCCAAAGGGAAACATTCTTCCTCACCCTGAACAACATATGACGCGAGAAGACCAGCGGTTTTGTCGTTGCACATAAGGTGTCCCTGCGCCATGTCACGTTTAATCTTCAACGACGAACATGAAAAAAAAAGGAAATCTAAATCGCTATTCCGTTCCCAACACCGAGATAACGCTCAAATAACATCCGCTTCCTGCTTCGGGATACTGAGCTACATACCTGAAGGCAGAACAAGAATCTCGTATATTCTTCCTCCAGCTGGGCCGGATCCGGGGGATAGAATTTCACACAGAAACGGAGCAACGGGTCACGAAGGGCGTTTAGCACCATTTGTTCCTTCATCGGCTTGCTCAAGTCCAACCAATACTGCGCAAGAATGATTTAGAAAGTCAGCATCGATTCGAAAACCTCAGACTCGTCGTTTGCCCCTTTCTTAAAATACATCACTGAAGCAAATACGTTTTTACCCTCAGGAATGGGGTGGGCCTCGGAATGTATTCGAATCACATGGAGACGGTTTAATTTCCTTGATCCGATCTCAGGGCATTTTGAATAGCAACCCGAGACAGACAGATAGAATCAGAATACGTCCTCGGCGGAACGAACTAGGGAATTTTCTAAAAATTTCCAAATATTCAAAGCATTTGTCAGTATTCGAACCTGTCTAATCTTTCCCTTTTAAAATATCTAACAAAAAATCCTAGAAGACTTCAACATCGTCATCCAAAAATTCGACGGAATTTCTGACGAAAATGAGTCAAAACGGAACCAAAATCAATTCCCTAGACTTCCGTCCACTGTAGATCTGTAGGTAAAATTGGTATGAACATTGTTTTTTTGAAGCCATATTCAATCATGAACTTTGACATGTTTTCACTTCGGGGAAAATTAACTCTTGAAATTTCATCCACACGTATTTTCCCATATCATGTATCACGTCACTATACAGTTTTCCATTTTTTTTTTACTTGTTCGTTTGCTGTAAGATCAGAAGTTCGCGGAAGAAAATTCTGCTGTAACTGCTGTTTGGGAGGAATACAAAACGTACATAAGTGATTCGGTGAAGATTTTAACGCACATCGTGACTCGAATTACGGACACAATTTTAAACAAGCAAGAGCCCCATGTGTAGAAAATTCTCGCAGAATGGTGTTCGTTGACTACGTAAACATTGGGAAATATTCTGAATCGTTCTGGTAAAGAAATGTCGAAAAGTTGTCTTGTAAAAAAAGTTGCTCAACGAAGGCTTGACTGGACTTTTATAAAAGCCATTGCACGTGGAATATCATCACTCAGGGGAATCAATTATTGAAAAGAAAAATATTGGGACTCCAACTGTCTGTCTGAGACGACGACAAAAGAACGAATAACGAAGGGAGGGACGAATAACGAAGGGAACAAGATACTGTACAATCAAAAATCATTCCCCTGGAATTTCCGAAAGGTCTTTCGGATCATTGCCCACGAATCCAGCATGCTTCCCATGGATGGGTGACTCACGCACCGCGAAGCAGCGTAAAACTCATTTACGGTGAACTCACGCTAGTGCCGTTCGCGTCCGAGTACTCAAGCCCGAAGTAATCCGCTTCCAGTAGACTCAGCTGTCGACACACTTGCTCGAACAACACGCGTCCAAGGGCCTTCGCCTGAAATGAACCGAGAAAGAAAAAAAACCCAGCCCGGCAGCAATGAGCAACAACGCATAAAGGTGGGATGCACGCAAAGCAGGATCCCGACGAAGTATGTGATTGTAACGAAGTAAACGGTCGAGACTCGAAATGAACGGTGGTAGCAATGGCCTTCCGCATCGCGGCTAACGGGTTACAACAAAAAAGAATTCTGCTGAAAATCTCCTCTCATCCGCCTGGAGACACAACTGTACAGCGTACACACACACAAATTCCTAGGAAATTCATTTAATGCTAAAATGTATTTGCATTCAATGAACATGTGAAAGTGCAAATTGAAGTATAGAAGAGTGCACGGACTCGTTTGTTCCTCAACGTAAAACAACGGACGAAAACAGTACTCTAGTATAGGTCTTGTGCGTCGAAAACAAAGAACAACGCATTTTCCGATTCGTAGAAAAAAAACGAAACGGAAAACAATACATTTCTTGATTCTTCAGAAACAAATCATGCTTTCATCAGTCTGGGTAAACGTCACTGGCAGTAAAATTGAATTAAATTTCACGGCAATTTCTCCAACGTAATGTAGATTGCAAAAGTATTTTTTACGCGTCTTCCGGCAAATTCTGTATCAATTCCGCCACGCGCAGTTTGGTGCCCTTCAAAACTGATCTAACATTCTTACCGCTCATTTCAAGGCCTTTATAAACGAGTTTCATCCAAAATTCCGAGCACATCACGATTTAAACAAAAAGGCTTCAAAAATCATGAATAGCTCAACAGATGAGCAACATCTGTTTTCCGAGGAACTGATTTTAAAAATGACCAACTACATTGAATTGCGTCTGTCATCAAAACTGAGATCCGTTTCAGTATTTCCTTGAAAAAAACCTGCGTGAGAAAACAATTCTGCGGCATGAGGATGTTCTTCTCGATCAAGGTAACAAGATCTGACTAGGATCGATATTACGAGAGAATGCAATCTTGTGAATGGTGTGGGCCCATAATTCGATTTTGCTCAGCCTGATCCCGCTCCTTACGCAAGAAGGTGAGACAAGAGCGAAAGAGAATCCCCGCACGAACGGCTGAACATTAACTCGAGCGGCACAAGTGCCTCAGCATCCCATGTAACCCACGGGACACGGATGCAACATCCGTGCGAAATGGAATCCCCACCAACAATCTTTCCAGCTCCTCCTTCGGGCTACGAACTCTCTCAAGATCTCCTGTCCTATATTGATTAATATCTGCAACACCCTCTCCAACCTTCTCGCGCGCTTTTCAGCGTCGCTCGCATCTGCAGATTTGCGGGTCTGAAATCTGTCTGAAGCTCTTAAAATGTGCCACTCAAGGTGATCAAAATTATTCATGAGGCGAATTCTGATTGTGAGTCTCGAATGAGCCAGAATCACTTCAAATGTAACGTCAAAACTATAAAAAAGCATTAAATAAAAAATGAGAAAATTTAAAAATCAACATCATTCGAAACTTAGCGGCACTTGCTTCAAATCTACGGACGCGATAAATAAAAAAATATATATTTAAAGCAAATTTAGTTGGAACTAAAATAACCTTATGAAATGAAAATTTCTCGGACCTCAGTTGAGAAAATAAAAAGTAGAATTACATACAACTTAGAAAAATTACTTCATTCCAAGTACGAAAGAATTGCAAACTAAAGTACTTGACGATATTTTGAACGAAACCATCAAGGGGTTCGTCATTTTGACGCAGTAGGATCACCAGGACAATTTCGCTGAATCAAGGGTGAAAACTTGGCATGTTACGTTAAGCATCCGCCAGAAATAGTTGCTCAACGTTAAAATATTTTATTTTTTTTTCTATTTTGTCATGGAAGTCAGCGAATGGTGGAACTCAATAACCTTTTCATTCACGGTACTGAGCAACCATGGGTCTCAGAGAAGTAGCCCGAGCCTTCTCGAGTGATTTCCCAAAAGCCAAAACCATCCATGTTTTGCCATAGAAGGTTCAGAAGCACTTCCGTCAAGAAATTAAAAAAGTACCCATACAGGCGTTTCGGGAAATGTTTAAAAGCTTGGATAAGATATAAAAACCTAAAATGGGCGATCATGCTTTAAAATGTTCGAAAAGAAAAAAAATAATCATTTCTATAAAAGGGCTTCTTTAAAAGTTGAACCCATCCCGCGGAAAATTGTATTCGTTGTATATTGTATTCGTTGACAATTGTATATATTTGGAATTCGAATACCTTGCCAAAAAAAAGTGCACAAATAAATGCCACAGAAAAATTCTCACCTGTACTTGAAATATCGCAAGTCCATCGTCCAGCATTTGCACCTTGACAGCCATCATTTTACCCTTCCCTGTGACCCGTATCGTGGGTATAATATCGTAGGGTGTGGTCGTGGAACCGAGACCAACGGGTCGGCCAGGGACGTCACCAATACCAGGCATTGTAGTCATTGGTCCAGCTGAAGCATCGTTGTGGCCATGGCTGGCCATGCCGCTCATCACCGCCGACATGGTCTTCGCGAACTAAGCTCGCCGTGATACACAGCTACGCTAATCAATGGCATTGGCCGGTTTTAAACTGATTGGCCTCCAATTATCATCACCATGCCGACCAGACCTACTTTACAATCACATTCTTGTACCTATCTGCGAAAAAAAGAAAAACCATGAACTTTACAATTCAAAGAATTACGTCAACAGATCGAACATCCGTAGTATCTTCAGATGAACTAACGAAGGCTTCAGATCAAATGACGAATACAAATGCATCGAGAAAACTCGAAAATGTTCAGACACAACGAAACTTCCAGAAGTCGTCAATGCCTCGAAAATCAGATGGAAAATTGGAAGTTTAGATTTGTAAGAAGGAAAAAACAAATCGGATTGAAGCAGAATCAATAAAACGAGCTTTAAAAGTACTTCAAAAAGCTGAAAATTGGAGCGCATTTTTCCCGTTTAGAGTACAATTTTAAATAATGAATTACGATCATTCAGTAGCGTAAAAAAAATACAGTACTTTCGAGTTTTCACCAAGCATTAGCTTCACGAAGGCACACAAATGACTTAAATTCGCTGACAATACAAAAACCTTCATTAGATGCAATGTATCTCACTAGATTCACAAGACGAACGAAAAATCCGAGTTAAGGCGTGCAGGAGGAGGATTCAAGATAACTTTCGCGATTTTGAAAACGCTCAATCCCGATGACTCGAATGCGCGGTCGTAGGTAGTCAGATTCATGATATGCAGCTCCGGCAGCCACTTTCCGCGATTTTAAAATAAAAAAAGAAAAGGAAAACTCAAATCTCCCAGAACTTCCCAACCGCAAATCACACTGCAAGAATAAAAAAAGCTTCCTTACGCGGTCACAAAAATCGTAAACACAAAACTTCCACCTAAAAATAAAAACTGACAGACTTAAAACTATCGTCTCACCGGAAATTTCAACTCAATACGCGTCTCGAAGACTTCCACACCGTCGAAGCATTTTCACGGATACATTTTAATAGCCAACAATCTCACAATGTTTTCTCGATATATCTGCATCTGACGATCAACGGATGATGGCCCGTGGAGGCAAACACACTGCCTTTTGACGTGCTCAAGAAAAGTTATGGGGGAAGCAAAACGCAGAGCAATCCTCGCAGCACAAAGAAGTGTGTGTGAATATTCAGCCCGATACCCACTCAGGAATTTCGATATATTCATCAGTAGAGAGTTAGCAGAAGACATTGCTTTTCTCGACAGCAAGCCTCAATCGTGCATGCTGAAATTTTGTGTTCCATCGCTTTCGTACGGTAGCTACAGCGTAGTGATGATTTTCTATTCAACTCAAAGTTACTAAGAGAGTAACATGACACCGAAAAAAAAAGTCAGAAGTTGCGACGAAACATTCAATCGACCGCGAGCATTCCATTTAATCATTCGAAAACTCGAAAAGTCCGGCGACCAACGAAATCAGTTCAGTACAAGAGGTTCCGGATTTCCGCGCACTTTTTTTTAGAAAAAATTTCCCAGAAGTACTGAATCTGAAAGTAGGGCAGGTCGTATGATAACATCATGAAAGAATTGTTGAGAAATTTTCTTGCATTCCACATTTATTTATTTTGTTTTTCCTTCCACCATCCGAATTTTGTACGATGACTAAAAGAAAAGACAAAACTCTGCCGTCGATGCATCAACAATTTCCTGTCAAAGCAATATCTCGCAATTTGCAAGATTCCTAGCATACGAAATCTGCCCGACGTTGCTTCAATTTTTCGAGGAGTCGCGTTCAACGGTTAACTATTTCATATCTTCCAAAACGCCAGTACAGTATCAAAATCGGACAGGGAAGAATTAAAATGGCGGGTACAGGGAGACAATCCTATCCAATGATCCGATCACCTGAACTCTCCCCATTTCGAATCTAATACGCTGTGAAAATTGAACTGTGCACGGAAATCAGACACACCCATAGTACTGAAGCGGGTCAAAGAACATGCAATAAGCACGAGCAGAGATGGTGACGGTGCCTGAATTTTCCAGTCGGTTTGAATGCATTCGCAACCCCGTGTTGGCAATCTCCGAACCCACGACACTTCTCCAAATCATTCCGCAACCTGGGATCCCATCGGAGGAAATTCGTCGTCGTCGTGGATCTTGAGCAGAGACGGAGGCGGTTGTTCCGCTGCAGCGCCTAGTTCCCGGAACCGGTCCGAATCTTTTTCCAAAGGGGGCATGAAGAAGTCGGAAGAGATATTTAAGGGAGACAGAAAAGAAGCGAAGGCAAAGCGAGTGGATTTCAGAAAGGATAGTCGTGTTAATTTTCGTTCGGAAGGGACCGTTTGGAAGAATAAGGAAAAAAGCGCGAACGGAAACACGAATGCATCAGTCACGTTTCTCAAGACGTCCAAATTTCTCACAATGATAATTTCCAGGCTTCATTCCATTTACTTTGTGTCTTCTCTCAGAATAAAACAGATGACGAATGAAGCCTGAAGTACAATAATGCCATCGAATATATACAAAACAAAATACGATCATAACAGCCAACAAATGTGAAAACCATGCACATGGATAATTGAAAAGGCAATGAAACCGATTCTTAGTAAAAAGAGAAGATAACACCGCAAAATTTGAAGATAACCCTCCCAAATTCAATTGAAATTCTACAGCCCCTGTCGAAATAACGAATTCAAGTTCAAAATTTCGTGAAATAATCGAACGTAACAGGGCAATGGGACCATGTCGAGCGAATGATACATTTTCCAATCATTTCCGAATGTATAAACTTCAGAGATCTTGAGGTTTAATGAGAACTTTTTATTCGATGCTGAACGGAAGTTTTCACCTTGCCATGCTGTTACTGCATTCATGAAAATATTACAATTTACTTTCGCCGCGTTCGATTTTTTTTGGCTAATCGGTGAACCCTTCGACAAAATCTTACAGGCAACACGGAATTTCCGAGCGACATGCGTCCCGAAAACATAAGCTATGACACACGTGTGAGAAGCAGTCAACCACAAAAGCATGCCAAAACAATCTAAGGAAAAATAAAGGAAGCCGAACTCATTAGCTTCCAAAAAGAATTTCATGTACCATGGCAGGCATCCTGACCTGTCATGATACACTCAGCTTTCGGTCCCCGCAGGATGTTGGCGTACGACTGGTCCATCACGCCTATTTATTTTTCATTTTTGCGTACAGTCCGGCAAGCAACAGGACCGATTGCCGACAGCATCGACGCAAAAAAACAAGCATAAGAAAGAAGATAAGAGGAAGAACGGGAGACATAGATAAGGGCGAAGAAAAGAAAGATAGGAAAAGCAAACCACGGGCGGCATGAAAACTTTCGTCAATGAATTGCTTCCCGTACTTTGAGCTGGCTGCTTCTCCACATTTCAAAAATGAATATATCGTAAAATGAAGCCACGAGTATCAGCATTCATATAACCTCATGCCCATAAAGGAACAAAATGAATGTCCAATCGCGAAAACAAAAAAAAAGTATTTTTATCCTTTCCTTAAAGCAACTCTTCTCTGCTCCGCAAAACTTCCCCGCACCAGTGACTAAGGCAGCTATTCATTCCTCACCTCCATGACTGTATGGCAGTCCGGGTTTATCATCTCCGAGTCCATCCAACCTAACGATTAGAAAAAGCACAGTACGTAACTTCAAAAAATGAGCAATTTTGGAAAATAAATATCAGCGAAAATAAAGTCGGGAACAAATCCATCCCTCGTATTATAATATTTTGATAAAAATTACATAAAGTTGCCAAAAGACTTTACGTATTCTTTTAATGATTCGGAAAACTATTGAGACACATCCCAATCTACCAATAAATAATTGAATGGACTTTGAACACGACAAACTGCTCTTATGTCAGCGGCGGTCGTAACCACAGATGTAATATTTACATATTTTTAGGGAGTCGTCTACGGTGGTACTCGGCGTTGTGGGCAACTTAGGACAGCTCGCTGTTTTTTAACCTACAGTATTACACAACGAATGTACATTGATTACCAAATCAAATGAAAATTCGAGATGGTATCAGTCGAGTATCCTCTTGAGCACCGACGATTTTGCAGGACCGCTGAGAAATCACAAGTTTCCCTCGAATCTCTGATTAACGGAACTTCGTTCGATAGAATAAGAGGACATGACTTAGAATTAAATGAATTGATGGTAAGGCGAAAAAATCTGGAAAGATTATCTGGTTTACGTCGCACATCGAATGACCTCTCGAGAGTATTTTTGACCAAAATATTAAAATGTGAAACTAGCCATGAAATAATATAAAACAACCAAAAATAAAAAAGGAAATAATGTAGAGTACAACAGTAAAAGTTGAAGGAGTTCGAAGTACTTACACAGTGAAAGCACAGATATTTCTCACATTACCGTACGGTAAGTGGACGGTTGCGAAGTCTCTGCCTTGCGAGAAAACCTCAGTAACCTGGGTCGGCAGGTACGAGGCAGACGCAGTCAGGACCCGAGAAAACTACAATGAAATTTCATAACTAGAATTGAAGCTCGCAAAAAATATGCAAGTACTGTAATTATAGGTCCGTGGAATCGAAGTTCAAGTTACGCAAGGCACACAATTCCCTTTGTTTGAAATTAAATGAACAACACTTTATAGGGAGCAACGTCATAAAATTTATTTGAAATTTGAATATACAGTAAAATCTTATTACAACGAAGACATTGGGAGCAGTGAAGCAGCTTCGTTATATCGAAAATGTCGTCATGAAGAAACTCAAATAACATTTTGGCTAATGGACAACGACCTAAAAAACGAAGTCGTCACAAAAAGATTTGTTTTAATGTGATTCCACGATAGATCCCCTCAAAATCGGCTGAAAAGCACTCCTACAAGAAACGAAGTTCAAAAATAACCCAATCAACCAGACCAAGGCTTTATCCTCAAGCGAAATGACAAGTTGGCCACATCAGGAATTCAGACGGGCCGTGAGGAAAAAACAGAATCCTGGAGCCACAAACTTGGAACACTGAACAAGCTGAATCCTAAGGTGTTTCAGATCATGCGCGGTAACTCATGTAAAATCACCTTAAAATTTCTGAGGTCTTCACAAACGTCAGGGAAGAAAGCGTAACACGGATACGTACGTTTCCTTAACCTGTTCCAGCTTGAAAATATGAACGGTCTCCGTGTTGGACGACGCCGAGAGGAACAACGAATCCGGACTGAAGGCCAGCGAGTAAATCGAAACACATCGCTTCATCCCTCGGCGAAACTCGAACAACTTCGTCCCATCGGCAACGTTGAAGACTCGAATCACCGTGCCTTTCTCAGAAGCCGTTGCAAGCTTCTTTCCAGGCGTATCGAAGCTGAGCGCCGCGAGCGGACCAGCATGGGCTGGAATCATCATCTTGACTTGCTGTAAAATACATACGAAGTTGAATTACGGCACCCCAAGGCTAGAAACGCCAGGTTTCTCAAGGGCAAGGAGAGCGACATCATACACCGCAGCGATTACGGCATGAATTCATGAGGGATTCATCACTTTTCCAAAGTGAGGGGATAGCATTTTGGAGATGTCCACTGTAATGAAAAATTTTCGAAAGGTAGGAAAATGCGCATGTTTCGGATGCGCAGCAACCGATGATTTCAAATTGCTCATAAAATAGTAATCTATTTTTTTAATTGCGTAACGAATTTGATGGAATGGTGAAAATCAAATCTCGCCATTTAAAAAAAAAGCATATCCTGTACGTCAGATAGATGTTTTCACATTCAGTAACACAGTGATTCCTGGGAAAAAGGTTGAATCGTTGAGAATTTCACATGCGTACAAGTTAATTTCACGAAAACAGGTTCAAGTACAGTACAGTACTCCTTTCTTGGGATGAAAATTTCTAGCTTCAATAAGTGCACTGTAAAAACTAAAGCACGTTCGCAATTATTTTTCACATATTTTCCGAAGTTTTCCGAGTAGTGAATTCGCAGCAAAAATCTGTAACGTCGGATTCTCTCGTGTTTCAGTGAAAATCGGGACTTTCTCAATATTCCGACAAATAATGCACGAATAACTTCGGGCCACGGGTAAACTAGGTAATCGAGTTCAAGATTTTTAAAAGAAAAAAGTACCATGGCTGTAAAAACAGATGAGGAACAAAATTCAAACTCAATCTTCCAACCCTCCATCTGCAGAGTAGCAAATTGAATTAAAAAAATTAATCGATCATATGCATTCTAAATGATATTACAGTATATATCCCTTTTCAAATAAATTGTCCGTCTGCATGGTGCCATTTCTGATAATGGCTCGTGTTGAATCACAATATGTCAGTCAATTCTTCTTGGACTTCCGTCATAAATAGGTGTAATTTCTGGGAAACACGAACAGGCACAATGCACAGCTTCATACTTTATGTTAAATCGGAAAATACGAACGAACACCTATGATACACCATTACTTGAATAAATACACCAAAATCCGTTCTCACCATGGTCACGGTGTCGAAAATTTGTACTTCACCAGCGTGACTGGCCCCGGGATAAGCTAAAATACAGTTGTCGCTGTGCGGTGACAAGGCACACAATCCAGTTGGGTTCGGAGGAGTGTCTTTGATGGTGTGGAGAACTTTCATGTCCCGCATGCTGTGGATGTGGATAGCCTCTTCCAAGCAAACCACCAGTCGCTACCATCAGAACACAAAAAAATACATGAACATGATCGCAGTGTCGAAACAACGAGGAAATTAATCCGAAATTTACCGAACGGTTCAGCTTCACGGAGAGGATTGTGTTGGAATAGCTGTTCTGGCATATTTCTGTTCCTTTTTTCAGGTGACATACTCTTAATTTTCGTGGAGAAGAGAGTCCCACAATCGCGATCAAACTGCTCGAGAATAGGCGTTCGACAATGCAGATCTCCTCTTTGTCTAAAAAAAAATAAGACGTTCATCAAAAACCAGATTCATGTGACAATCGGACAATATCGTGATTCTGGAGAGACATTTGAGCATAAAAAAATTTAATCTTCCAGGGAGAAAAATCTCGTCTCGTACACGCTGAACAGTATGCGCTTTTCGAACTCCGTCACGTCATAGAAACGTTGCAAAACAAAACTTCAATGAGTTACTGCAAAAATTTCACGCGATTTTGACATGATAAAAGACACCAGAATGAAGAAATCTTCCGGTGCTTCTCTCGTGACATAATTTTAATCTGCTTTAGTACATCGGCGTGGATTTTTTTCCATCCACATAATTTCGAACGAATGCCGCACCTTCCTCTCACTCACTGAGTCATATCCTTGAATTCACTGTTACTGACCATTTCGATGAATTTCTTCATCAATATCATCCACTGAATTTAGCGAAAAAAGCCTGTAGCCTTTTTTTGTTCCCACCGACAAAGACCTGCACAAAAGAGAATAATATTCAGCACAGACTGTCACGAGAAATCAAGCAATTACTGCAAATTCAATCGGGGGGAAAACTCAAGAAATAAATTCTCTAATGATTTACTTACGAGCAGTCCTGATTGAAATTCACAAAGTAAAGTCCGCTGAGGGGATCACCACCTTGACTGGCGAGGTTCATCGCACCACAGCACCTCGATCGTCAGAACATTAGCAAAGGTATTAGCCCCCTGTTCTAACTTCTTAACACGTTTATGATACAAGTCTCACAATATATTCCACAAACAATGGTTCGGTAACAAAAAAAAATCCAAAAACTTTCAGCCTGAAAATGTTTTAAATTTCTCATCAATACAACGTTCATAACATTCGGGGCGAAAACCAACCCGAGCGATTAAAGAAACAGAACACAGGCCGTTACCACATGTCCTATCCATTGGGAAACCGGAAACAGCGTGGAAACGTTTTACACGTGAAGGAAAGAATTGGACGCTCGCCACGAACGGCATGCATATTTCACGGACTCTCATTCATATTGCGTTCTCCACGCGGGCATCATTTCATTTAAGTCAAGGACACACCACCCGTAACTACTCAGACTTTAACTTTGTACTAAATTTAAAGACAATCACATTTCAAACCAGCCGAAGCTTTCGTCTCCAAAAAATACAGCTTCAAAAACTTCATCCGGATCCGCTCACATTTCTATTACCGTGCTATAATTAAATTTGTCAAGGCACAAATGCAGTTTTGGATTCCAGGATTGGTCTCATAGAAGCCCTTGGCTGAGCTACGGATTACTTGATGAGCGAAAGATGGTACAGTTTACCACACACTCACGGCGATGAAGGTCATTTGAAATCGCGTAAGCATCTTTGTGGCTGAACGTAATTCGACTGAAGAACCGCGATGATTCACACCAGTTCGCAACTCGAAAGAATCGCGAGAATAACGATCCTAGAAAATTGAAAGAAAAAGTTTGAATCATTGTATCTCTAATTTACGCTTCACACATTCTAAAAAAAAAAACTTCCAAACGTTGCAATTTTCCATTGAAGACTAAATAATAATGACCCTTTCTTCAAGAAACTTCGTCCAGTGACTTCACATAAACGGGTTTGCCAAGACGTCTCTTACGTTCTTCAGCTTTCATTTTTGTCCATCCCGTAGCCAGGGAGTGAGGAGGGAGATTCACAGGCCGCGGATGTGGATTTTGGTAGTGAATAGCTAACATACACACACAGAACATTCGTGATTGAATACAAACCGAATGCAGATGATCAAATAAATGAAGCTTTTGTTCACCTAATTCCAAACGAGCTTCTCCTTCCTTAATACTAGCAATAATATCTCCTCTATCCTTCAAACTTTTGTTCTGCTTGAAGAGCCGTCTTGCTTCAGCAAGGATGAATGCTTTGTCATCCTTGCTCTCCTCAGGGTCCTTCGATTGCCACGTTTTCTGCACTCGCATAATGCGACGATATAAGCCAAGAACCGAACCACGGAACTGATTCGACGTCATAATTTTAATACCCGGATTCACTGACATCTTCCAATGAATAAACCTTCGTCCACATTAGTCAGAAGTTCTGCAACCTAGCCATAGGCAAATTTCACTCGCACGCATCACAAATGGGTTTCTTGAAATTTAAATACAGTAAAATCAAGCTCCTGGTTCTGCTTCAGAACGAGAAGCGCTTCGTTGAGATGCAAGGTGAAACATCAACATGCTGGACTCCCACACCACCACGCGCTCGCGTCTCGCTCAGTAACAGTTACGCAGAAAACTCACGGACTCGTGAGGCCAACCAGGGCAGAGGGGACAAAGGCGGAGAGGGAGGAAACACGAGGGAAGACAGGAGTTACGCGAGAATGTAGAGACACGCCTCCCCCAACAGCAGAGCAAGGAGAGAGGGAGGGCACTTCGATATCTGACGCATGACAACAAACGTCGCACTCCCTCTTGGAATAGCGCGCACTACCTCGCAGCGCAAGGCGGAACTCGTTGAATGGGTGGACTGTAGCTTCAATTTCAGGTACAATTTTAGCTTCGGGGAATGAGTGCAGACATCTTTCATTATCACAGAGAAAATGTTTCACAGAATTGTGCCGTGGGATTTTCCTCGTAATCGAAGCTTCTGAGGAAATAAACAGACAGATTCGTTCTTCTGTATGCCGAATACCGCACATTCATGTGAACCTAGAGTATCGGTACATGAATAGTCCTGTACGATATTGCACCCTGTAGGCCAGTCTTGAGATACGTACCGCTCAAGAAAAGAACCTTCCTTATCAAATTTCCGCGCGAGTTACGACGCATTCGACCTCGTCGCAACCAATAAGTACGATCACAATAACAAAATGGTTAACTTATTTTTACCTCGGAGATATTTCGTTAGATTCGTTCCATGAAACACTGGTTGGCAGCAGCAATCATTTTCTGAGAACGGGGAAATCGGAAAATCCAGGTTGTGCCGAAATCTTTCAAAAGCTCACCCAGAAATTTCGGAGGAATAAAAAAAATGATCACATGACGATCAGCAGCATTTTCTGTTTTCATTCGTCACCCGGAAAAAAAATGACAGATCTGAGCAAAATAAACAAAATGACCACAAGGGAAGACGAGATGAAAAGCTAAAACGTGAACCCCATGAAAAATCTGCTGCGACAAGTCTTTTCTCTTTGACTCCATCACCTGGCTCACTGAGTTTTACATTGCTCCGGATTTTGCGGTACAGCCATCTGTTTCGCGGCCTGGAAGAACGAAACAATTCATATTCCAAGCTATTTAAACCGTCAACTAAGGTTACGTACAAGTGGTGAAGGGTCGTCGTCGTCGTCATCTTCATCATCCTCATCGTCGTCTTCTTCATCCTCATCGCCGAACTGAAAAGATTCAAGAAATGTTCATCTGAACGACGAGACATGAATAATAACGATGCTCACTTCATCTTCATCGTCGTCGTCGTTCGCTTCTCCAGTAAAATAAAGCACTGCACGTGGTATCACTTGTTCACGCAGGTGGTGGCCTACTTCAAAATCAGCCGATAAAATCTGCTGCTGATCTTCATCGGATTCGTCATCCTTAACTGTAATGCAAAAAAAGATGCAGAGAAAGATCTCACCAATTATCAACGAAGTGCGATTGAAATTGACGGAGATGTCACTGCAGTGCCTCTTGATTCATGCGCACACCCGCCAACCCAATTCTTGACTAATACTACTTGAATTACGTTAGCTTCGGTCGGTCAAGTCTGACTAGATTACAGCAAACGTCGGGTTAATCGAGGATCCGATTAGGTTCGTCCTTCGTTAGGTACGTTAGATTGTTTACTTGCGAACCATGTGTTGAGGTAGTCACGAAGAAACTAACACGCCACCTCGATTAATAATGAAATATAAATGCTGCAGTGAATTGAATCATTCATGTACTCAGCTTAGTCAGTTAAACTAAATCTATGGGTTCAGTTGACGTTCCTTCAGTTAATTTCAAATCATCGCAGCTGTAGCAACATCAACAATATTCAGCAGATTGCTTCAGGCAGTTAGAGGAAGTTCATGGAATACAATATGAATACACTGCGTAACCTTTTTCTCGTACCTTCTGGGGGATCGAAGAAATTGAAGAACGAGTCCGTGGGGATAGTTTTCGTTACCATGCGCACTCCACCATGACCTTTGTGTTTCTGTTTCTTCTTTACCACCCGGACAGTAACATTTTTGCCTTTTTTCCAATCGATGGGGCACCCACGACAACGAATGATTTCTGGACCTTCAAAACTGAATGGATCATCTTCTTCTGGTTCGCACTTCAATTCATAGGTTTTGGTAAGAACACTATTCGTGAAATAGTCGTTCGGCGAGAAGAAAAATTCCAGCTTGAATCCCTGCATGACAAGTGAAAAGTTCAAGTAACAAACTTCGAACAGATCAAAAATCGACTTACCGCAGGATCATTCGTGACTTCATACTTGATGTCTGTTAAATGCTTCAAGACTGGCTCGTCCTGTTCATGTATCATCTCATCCAATAGACTGACATTTTTCAAAACCTTGAACCAGAATTCCGGCACCCCTTTCACATCATCTTTTGTATCGCCTACGTTAACTTTATCTTTCAACTCATTGCTCAACTCTTCCTCCTCGTTGTCCAAAGACCATTTACACTCTTCGTCATTTGGTTCGTGTTCCGCGTTGACGATTTTTGAACGCATATCATACTGATCCTTATACAGGGCTTGGTACTTTATTTCAAGATTGTGAAGCTCCATGAAAAACTTCGCTTCAATATTAGTTGACTCTAGCTGGAGTTTCTTCAAGGCTTTTATTCTGCGCTTAACAGGTCGTGGCAACGAGCGCATATATTCCGTATGAGCTTGTATTTGATCCCGCGAACGGATCTTGGCTTGTATCGCTGCCAACATGGATGGATCTTTTAGTAGTTCCGCTAGTGACCCTGAAAAAAACCCTCATTACGATCGGTACGTATAATGATGCTGAAAAACATACCCTTCTTCGAAGGACTCGAGTCATCACCATCATCTCCATCCACGAAGCTAGCATCTGAAGCTTCCATTCCTTCCGCTCTAAAATAAATACGGAGTTCAATTATTTTCACGAAGACTTGGTAAAACAACCAGGTTCTCAATAAGACCAAGACTCACTCTGGATTCTCCACATTCGCCATGGCTATGGTTTCGAGATGTTCAACTTTCCTCTAAAAAATGAGAACAGCTTTGAAATAACAGCGCCAATTAGACTATCAGCTGGTACAGATATACCCTCGAATAATACGAATTAAACCACTGCGATGCACACCTTCATGCGCGGGGCGTTGGGACCTCACACGCCCAAGCGGCCTACCCTTCACATAACTTCATCGACAACACGGAACGCGGTAAATTCGTAGCACACGGCAATTGTTTGAATGAAGCACGCTGGCAACGCGCCATATTGAATGAATATTTTTTTCAAAGAGTTCTCGCGTTTTCCACTCGTGGTTTGTCGATGCCTCTAACTCCCAAGATCGTTCATCATGATCCTATACTCCACTACCGCGCAGTATACATGTCCCAGATTTTACAGTGTATCAAATTTTTTGTACTTACTTTATTCCTGAATTTTTTAAAAATTTCATCTGCATGTAAAATGAAGGTCAATTAACAACGAATGCGCGAGCGAAAACAGCTTGAATTTGTGCATTACTGCAGCATGTTCGACTATACATCATTGGATATAGACGAGGATGACTCGTCCACTATGATAAAATCGGATGCAAAATTATGGTACTTTTTGTGTCAGAGATGGACTAAAACAATGTTGACGTACTACATTTTGGAATCTTTCCACGCGTTATTGTCTTTCAATTATAAAGAAAAGGCTATACACAGTACTTATTTTCAATACAGCCTTATGCGGGTAAGATATCTCCGCAATCTGTAATTATTTAAGGAGGTCCATTAGATAAAATATAGCATTTTATGTAATTATATTATGACTGAACTTCAGAACAGCTATACTGAATCTGACTTGAACGCAATATGATCGTAATATGCTGGAGTACATCATGCATAGGGTCGTGTGTAGACATGCTGTGTGAACTGTGAAGTGCTGCATACCCGATAATGCTGAAAGGGACAAATTGTATGTACTGTATTTGGTCCCTCGACACCTGCCTTCAGCGACAAACCCTTAATACAGGAATAATTACTGTATTACGTACGCGGTACATTTAATATTTTCCTGCTATTAATTGCCGGATGACGGACAGACCAAGGAACCTGTTTCAGTTAAGATGGACCAGCAACCTAGCTGAAACGATGCTCGCAGAACTTCCAGCAGCAGCATATATATATAACACCGAACTATATAGCTGAGTCATCCAACAAGATGATCCTGACAGCAGCAGTGGACTGGGTGCGGGCCAATTCATCTGATCACAGGTTCCAGACCGTCCTATACACAATGCGTGTATGACAGCGTGAGGTAAGATACATATACCTTGAATTCTCACACGTGAATGTCAGCTGCTCGCGCATCAGCACAGAAGCCATATGTTACAATGTCCGGTCCACCGCGACGCAGGTTGGCAAACCAAGATTTAAGGACATGATGATAAATGCATCAACACCGGAATCCCCACCCCAATCCTCTTACACATTGATCAATGATCACGACCCCTCTTCAGATGTAAGCAGCAGCAGAGATGTTTGATTCTAAAAAAGAATTGTTTGCGTTATGCGTGTCTGCGGTTATAATTAGCCAGGCCGGTAATTTTAAATTTTTTTTCGAATTCGCTTTCATGAAATGTATCTTGTTGGCTTTCAATCCACTGATATTTGTATCGATCAGCGGAAAGTAAAGGTTGATCGCAAAATTCATCATATTAATCATATAAAAAAGATGTTTTGCTCAGCATGCAGTGCATTATAATCCCGGGTTACAGCACGATGCTACGCTCAAATCTTCACAAGACCCAGCAATAAATTCAGGATCTCGGGATAAGAACATCCTCATCAGCGTCGTCCATTGCTTTCGCGTGATCCGGCAGCTTTCGTATTGCTTCAGAAGCTCGGACGATCAAAATTTCGTTGTTTACATTTAAAACTCCATCAACGCTTACTTTATTCTGGGCTGGCACACTTGACCAGACTCATTCTTATCAAGTATCATATACTCAACATTTTTCGCGTCTACAGAGACGGCCGGTGACAGATTCCTTACAAATTATAATCTGGAGTTTCAAAGAGAAACAACCTTTTCTTTATTCTGAAAAACAGGGCGACACTGACTTGACCAAACTAAGAGATGGCTTACATAGGAATGCAGAACTATGAAACCAATTCATCCATCCTCATTTTGAGCGAGTGATAGACTCGAAATAAAAGTAAATCTCAATCCGGGAATGATGCCGAATGAGCTGCTTCTTGTTGATTAAACGATCGGGGATTGGCCACTGACGAGGCACATTAACGACATCAGTTTTTCCTTCTTTCATAACCTGATAAGCCGACGCCTCATCATTCACGGCGGCCAAGGAGAGCCATAGAGGAAATGAATGCTGTGTTGGTGGTATTTGTGATCGAAGTAACAGTGGGACTTGAAGCACCAGCAGTGAGTCAGATGACGCAATCTTCAAAAATATTCCCTGGCTCAATTAGTCTTGCGGCGACTGTAGTTCACGTCAGGACAGAAGAAGGGAAATAACGACGAGTTCTTCGAGCGGATGGATGTGAGTGCTGACGGTTTCGTGGACTTCGTCGAGTTCCGTGGCTGGCTGGACCAAGAAGCAATTGCCGACGAGTGGGCGCGGATCAACCCGGGACCTATCGCCGACAACACCATCTCGTGGCAACAGTACAAGATCAGGGCCTACCCATCGGGTTAGCTCATTCGTGTTCACATGAAAACTGAAGGTTTGCCTGTCATACGTTTCATTTACTTTTATTTTCCAAACTCTAAAGAGAATCCAGACAAAACAAATGTGGACTCGGACCCCGAGATGCACACAATGATGGAACGAGACAAACGACGGTGGGACACAGCCGATGAAGATGGCGACGGTCGACTCAACAAGACAGAGTTTGCTGTTTTCACTTATCCCGAGGCGTCTCGTCGTCTCCAGCACCTGGTTGTGGCTGAGACGCTTGACGACTATGACGCCGACAGCGACGGACGAGTGAGTACAGTGCTTCAAGCGTTCCTGCATGATTCTTGTAGTAGTATGGAAACACCTCACACCGACTCTCCAGATCTCGCTGCAGGAGTTCCTAGACTTCGTGTACGTCGGAGGTGAGTCTGAGCCAGAGTGGGTGGCGGAGGAGCGCAAAGAATTCGAGCAGGACCTAGACCGCAATAAGGACGGCTTCCTGGATGCACAGGAAGTGCGCGACTGGGTCTTGCAGGATGGAGAGGATCGACGAGAAATGGCAGAGCTGCTACTGAGGGAGGGAGACACGGACGGTGACCTACGACTCGCCAGACACGAAGTGCTCGCAATCAAGCACCTACTTGTCAAGGCTGCAGCATTGCAAGGGGCAGATGCGACAACAACCAAAAGGCTCAACGACGAGCTCTAACTTTTTTTTCACCATCCGGGCAAATTCAAAGCTGGTGCATTGTTTTGCATGATACATAGATCGTTTGTTACAACGGAGTCCCTCTTCATTGGGACCAATCCAGCGCCGATTGATACGGCGAATCACAAGTTATCTCAGTCCGGAAATAATTCCTAATGAGCTGCTTCTTGTGGATTAAATGAGCGAGGATTGGCCACTGATGAGGCAAATGAATGACATCGAAATATGAATGCCTATATATACGGCGCTGCATGAAACAAGAAGACAAAGGAAAGAAACCGCACACGATTATCAACTCGCTTATCTTCCTCGAGTAGAATGTGTTTGCTTGATTTAGCGATGAAAAATATTCACACTATCTCTAGTTCGTTACTCTTTAAATTAATTTTTTTTTAATTTTAAGTTCAATGGCGATCGGATGTTTCTCAACATTAAATTATTCTCGAAAAATTTTCTGATGAGTAAGAAACGTACGGCCGCAAGTCATGAGCGCTAAAATGACGACAGGTCATGGCGCAAAGCAAGGATCACCTCACGAATGATGCGGCGCGACAACTGCACGAGCGGGAATTATGCGTAATACATTTTCTTTGGTAGAAATTGGACGAGCACGTAAAATACGGCATTGAAAATTAAACTGAAGGCCTCATCGAAAGGCGGCGGCGGTATTAGATCCACCTTGATGAACAAAGGCGCTGTATGCTAAGTGAAACGAACGGGCAAACAAAATATGAACCTATGCATGCATAAGTAGGAAGAAGACGCGGTACACGAGAAAATAATAAGGACGCTACTTCGATTGCTTAACTCGATACTCCGTTGTCTGCGTAGCCTCTTGGTTCATCTTGAACGGGGACACCCGACTCATGTGGATTTGCATTTGGCCCTGAAATGACCAATGCATCACGACAATGTAATTGCTGGCCCGCATCACACTTCAGAGCTGTGTGCAACAGAATCACGATCCATTATAGTCTCGATGTGAAGAAGGGTGATATGGTAGCCGCATGCGCGGGCAAGTCATCCACGTGATCAAGTGAAGGCAATTGTCAAAAAATTGTGTCTTTATTTTATGTTCTTCCTTCCGAATTAAAGATGTACATTTGCTTGCCATTAAAAGTGGCCAGGAAAAAGAGAATGGGGACAATTTCTCCGAAGAAATGACAAATCGTAGGCTAGGACGGCGCGTTATTGTTCGTGTTATTGGTCCGATTTAAAGCGGCGGTACCTCCGCCGCGTGGGGTATTTCCAGATATGTGATGCTGCAGCTGCTTGTTTTCGACGTTTGACTCTCCATCTGATTGCAACTCCTCCTCCATCTGATACTCCGTGTTGAGGTTGGCGGCTCTGGAGGAAATTAATACGATGCATGAAAGAGTTTATCTATTTCGGTCTGCATCAGGATAAAAATACATAAAATAAATAAGATACCAATACAAATATAAGCAAAAAGGAACAGAATTTAAATTCGACCAACATTCTTTTCAAATCGATCAATTTTATTTATCAAATTTGGTAAAAAAAATTCCCTGTCTGAATTAAGTTTGAGGTGCACCAAAGTTAAATATTTTTCAAATGTTATGCAAGTCCATGAAACTCACACTTTTTTCTTAATATCGAAAAAATGTGCGCATGGAAATCAAGTAAATACGGAATTAATTCTATTTTCAGGGTGTAAAGCAAAAACTTGAACACGGCAAGCTTCCTTCATTCGATTTTAATATTAATCTAGGATCTAGGTTACTTGGCCATCGAAGTAAGGAACGAAGAATAAGAAACGCATACCCTGTCATAAGTGTGTGGTAGATCTGGGCGTGAGACGTGGACATGATGGGTTGTATGCTGTTGCCTATCGAGGACACGTCCTCCTCCCAGTCGAATGGGTCTGCATCGCGGGCACCGACCTTCTTCGCGCACTTGTCCAGCACGCGGTAGAGCAGGGCGTAGTCGGGTTCATCGAAGTAGGTGAGAGTGCGAACGTGTGCAAGAAACTTAGCGAAGTCGGTCGGGAAGGCCCGAATAAGCATGGCGTGGTCATAAGAGCCCTTGAGGCGCCCAACCTCCTTCCGGTCCTTCATCTTCCGCCACGGCAGATGGCCGTTGATGAACTCTACAAGCGTGTAGAAGAGGGACCACAGGTCGTCACCGCGGCCAAGCTCCTTGTTGTGATGCGCATTGATGGACGCGTAGCGGACAGTGCCACGAAAGCTGGCCGTCGTGCGCGGGTTCCGCACAAGACCGTCGGTTGTGGTATACTTGCGAGCCAGGCCAAAGTCAAGGATGAAGAGCATGCGACATGTTTCGGGATGGCAGCCAAGAGTGAAGTTGCTCTGAATACATGATAAAATTGAGTACATGCAAGTAAACAAAATACAAGTAAAATCTCGTCGCAACAAATACCATTACAACCGCTTTCTGGAAAGCAAACTTTTTTGCACGTCCAGGCAGAAAGCCCATTGAGTAAATGTTGAAACAACCTCACAAAATTCTCAATTCAAGTACTGTGTAACAAAATTTTTTGAGAAATGTTCAGTAGATTTTCTGACTAAGGCAGAAACAGTCTAAAATTTCCAATCCCAAATGTGACAAGACAGGTTCTTGTAGCAAGCTGTAATCCATGAAAAACAGGCTTCGAAGTTCACATCATCCTCCGGTAATGAAAAGATTGGTTGAACTGATGGAACGAATGATTGATGCTATTCTTATTTCAGAGGACCAATCAGTTTTTCAATCAATAATGAAAATTTTGAGAATGTCAAAAGCAGGAGTCGATTGATCATAGTCAGGTCTGATGTGGAAACTTTTTGAGTCATTAATTTTGAAAATCTCGTTATAACGAAATATTCAGCGTAACAAAACTTTCACACATAGGTTTGTTGTAACGAAATTTCACAATAATACGAAGCATCGAAGAAATTACTGGTTTGATGTCTCTATGCAAGAAACCAATCTCGTGCACGTTTTGAATGGCCTCTAGCATTTGCATCCCGAGTCGGAACGTGGTAGACGGAGAAAAGACGCCCTTGGGCTGGCTGCGTCGCATCTCGGCCAGATTCCGGCCCAGCAGCTCCATGACGACGTAGTTGAAGCGGTCGTTGCGGCCGCAGCCGTAGAATTTGCAAACGTGTGTCCTGCCCTGCAACTTTTTCAGCACGGCCACCTCCATGTTGAGCACCTGCTTGGTCTCACGTGCCGACTCCAGCTTGATGGCAACGGGTGCCGAAGTGCGGAGGTCGACGGCCTCATAAATTTCCCCAAAGCCGCCAGAGCCGATCTTAGACAGCTGGAAAAAAAACGCGTCAGCATCATAATGATTGAGGAGAGGGAAGATTTAACGGTCTGATTCAGCAAATCCTAACCACTTTCCATCGTTCCTTTATAACCTCATTCGGCTCAAGGATGTTGACTCGCTCGTCTGACTTTTTGCTTGTCGGAGGTTGATGTAGGACCTGAGGCGGCGGGTGGTTGTTGTTGTTATTGGACATGGACTGTCCCTTCTTCTTGAGTTGTAATACATCTTCAAATATTAAACATGTAAATTGAGATTCAGAGCGACAAAGTGAGTCAAAAATAAATGCCTTCGCCTCTCAGGTGGTCGATATTGGCCGGATTCTTGCCACTCATGTCAGAGTTGCGCTGTTCTTCAGACAAATTACTCGAAAAACTGCGTGAGGACGATGAGAACTCATCATGTATACCTGTCAATCATGATTTTTTACACTAATTTTACACTCCTCCTCGTTCGTTCGTGTCGTGGTAGAGAAAAAAAACCTGGTCAAAGTTGTTGAGTAAAGGGGGACTAAACGGGACCGTAACGAAAGTTTTGAGAAGACCGAGTGGAAGGTGAGTAAGAGGAAGTTACACGCAAGTGTGCTACTATTTAGTGAAGGGACTAAGCGAAGGGAGGAGACGACGGCGCCTGTCTGAGCAGGAGTGTATAGGAAGAAATTATTATAGGTTTTCATGTCTGTCTCAAGTTCGTTCGTCATGGTTCAGGACATTCATCGGTTTCTTTTTACGCGCACATATTCTGCTTAAATCATAGAAGATAGGAAGGCGACGGCCAGCGAGCAAGATTGTTCTTACAATTTTATGTCACTTTCAATCCGCCAAGAAAACGCTGCGTATGCCTGGATTGCGGTTCGATTTCGGTAGGAAAAAGAATTCACCGGGAAAAAATAAATAGAAATACTGTACAGTATGTACTTCAAAGTAGCCTTTTTCTAGTAATTATTAAATTGAATCGAAGTACTTATGATCTGTAGGGGTATGTCGCCTTCAATTTTCAGTAAGAAATTGACTATTCCTCCCGTGGTTAACCAAGTCTATTGCATTAGTGTTCTGACTAAAATTTGTCCTCGGAATTGATTCCTATTCTCAATAAATTATGAATTGCACAGTAAAGTTCCCGAAGGACACGTTTAATCGAATTTCTTTTTTATTTCAACATCGCGCAGTACCTTCGGTACTGCACTCCGCAGAAATACGGATTGCCGCGAAGTCATGCAGACGAGTTTTTGGATGCGAATGAAATAATGATGCAGATAAATTTCTTTCAGCAGATCAAATCTGAAGCAGCAACTTGGTCTATTAATTGAAAAAGTTCACTCACTATAAGTACCAGAGGAGATGCGGTGAATAGGTTAGAGATACAGCACCCATGCAGGCTTGGTTAGCACCTCACGTCTTTCCGTTCCACCAGCGCATAGTTCACCTACCAAGGCGTGATCACAATCAGCACCGAAATCTCCATCAGATACCGATGAATCAACGGCTCGAATGAACATCAGTGAAACTCCTAGGGATAAGACTGACGCTCACAAACCTTCCGGTCGCAGAACAAGCAATTCCCAAGGTGACCCGATTTCATCACGAGTGCGAAACTTGAGAATGATCGTGAGGTTGTATCGCGGATCAGCGACTCATACTTGAATCAGAATGGGAACTCAGCATGGAGCGTCAAAACTGTTTGCACGTGTCCTCATCAACATGCCCTTTCCTCCCAATATGCATAACGACGGGAACAGACAATACTGCGCGCCAAATTTCCGAACGACTCAAATACTGCCTCGAGATACATTCTGTCCCTCCCAATCTTCTCAAGACTAACACGGTGGTTCCTTTAAACAAGATCGTGCGTGCTAATCCGCCATCAAATAGCGATAGAACCAGCTTTCAAAAGGTGTCAATTGAAAGCTGGTAAAAATTAAAGCGTAGTAAAAAAATATATATCAAGTTGAACTTTAAAACGCTTCACCTTGACGAAGAACTTTTACATAAGGGTGCTTACGAACTTCAGCGATTTCACGGGAAATGCTTCATACTAAGACAGTCTCACCCCTTGGACAGGACTACCAGTATTCTAAGGTATTCGCGCGCGCAATGTAAAAGGAAATCGTGCCCCGCATGCTCATGCCACATACAGGGAAGAAAAAGTCATTGATTTTATATAACAAATGATATTGAACGTTTAAATGCGAATCCAACAAGTCATAAATTTCACAAACGCAACATCGAAGTCATTGAAATAAATCATAATTGCACGCCCATGAATTCATTTGCTCGCGATTCACCACTGCTGTCGTGGCCAACGGACTGGTAGACGTCGAGCAACTGATGGCAAATCTTGTCGAGGGTTTCTCTCGACACGTCAGACACAAATTGTGACCACCAATTATCCTTCACCTGCCGGTTGAAATATTCAAAATTGATGGCAGAAAAAATCTAATAGGGAAACTAACCTGCATTTTTTTCAATTTAACTGCCAGATAAATCATAGCCATGGCAATGATCTCAGGTTCCCATTGCATGCACAAAGTAGTCACAAGACTGTCATTGACGAACGTCCATGCCATTTGCACTAAGCCTTCCAAACGACTCTGATCTGACGCGAACGTCTTGACGTACTTCAGCAGAAACTGATAAGGGTGTTCCACCTAAGCATTATCAAACGCGACGAAAAATTCGCAGATGTAAACAAGTCCCTTTCGTCAGAAACGGCTGGTAAACTTACTTGCAGGTCAAACTTGAAAGTCTGCAGCAAAACCCTCTCCATGGTCATAATCTCGCGCTCTGGATGCATACCAAATTCATTCAAGATCTCGGTACTTAAAGCTTCATACTCGGTTTTTTCTTTAAGCAGTTCCCTCGTAGCTCTGATGAGATCTCGACATTTTTTCGGGGTTTCCTCCACCTGCGGGGAAAAGTATCGACTGAAGATGGTACACCCTACTTCGCTAAAAATGAGACAGGTGGATCTGACCTTTCCAGCAAGAAAAAGGCAGCTACAGGCGGTGACAAATTTCGGGAATTTGTCGAAGGACTGAAACATGTAAAACCGGTGAAAATACACTACACCAGTTGCAACTGTACTGTACACCAGTCCGATCTTTGAACTGAGATCCAGAAGAAATTTCGCTCCTTCCCGTCGAAACTTCTCTTCCTCTTTCCACGTGTGACCATCTAGGATGGTCGGCGTGTGTCCCCGGAGCTCATCAAGATCGTAATACCAATTCATAGTGAGAATACGACACTATTTTTCCACTGAAACATCCGTGGACCAGTACAAGAACAATTACAATGCTTTCCGCTCGAAGCATGTGGACTGTCTGAACATGTGAGACTTGAGGGAGGTCACTCAGGAAGGCACTATGCCGAATCCACGAATAAAAGTTCCGCGAAGGGCTTTCCTCTAAATGAATGATCTGCGATATGCACTTAAGCAGCCATTCTTTCCGTGGATTTAAAGTTAAACAAATTTTTTCTCAACCTTTTTATGATACCAGCTTTACGAGTACTTCAAAAAATTAAATTTTCTAGGGGTCAATATTTTTCAGGGCCAAAATAAATATAGTTCCTTCAAACGCGGTGAATTGTTTTTTTACTGTATTTCGCGGAAATGTTGTCCCGGAACACCCCATCGCGGAACGTCCATTCGCGTATGTGGATCGTCCCCGTCTGCCAGAGTCAGTTGGTGCGAGATGCGCGTGGGATGTGGATTGCGTGGAGTTCGCTGTGCGTGAATGTTATGTTGCAGGGCCTTTTTTTTTATGTGACGAAGTTCTATTTTTCTTCCAGAAAATTTGCGGAAGGTCGTCTGGAACCGCTTATGTAGCATCCAACTTCATCATGTAGTGAAATTATTTATCACCTTGGAAAATGTTTTCCCCTAAGGCGGAAGACTGCTTCAATTGATAGGGATTTGGGCTGCTTCTCGTCTGGATCTTGTTTTTCCTTTAACGAATTCCTTTTCGAACTTTAGTGTGGAGAATTAACGAACCCCTTTAATTGGTGCTGCTTGTGACCGAAGATATCTTCCGTGATTTCCGCAGATTACTCTCGAAAAAAATTTTAACATTCGTCGGTAGTTAGTTACCGTTATTCGTGTTCGCTACTAGAATGTCCTCACGAAAAACTGCTGGTCGCCGGGGTACCACCAAGAAGCGGGCCCAGCGCGCAACATCTAATGTCTTCGCTATGTTTGATCAGGCTCAGATTCAAGAATTCAAGGAAGCATTCAATATGATTGATCAAAATCGAGATGGCTTTATTGACAAAGAAGATTTGCACGACATGCTTGCGTCATTGGGTAAGCTCAATTTTCCCCCATTCCTGTGGCTTTATTTTGATTTCTGTGCAGTAATGTGTGATGAAAGAAGGGCAGCCGGATGAAAAGCAACCAGGAGAGAAGGACCCAGACAAAGGGTACCACGAGAAGAGCACCCTAGACAAATTATCCTATGGATTCGATCATGTCTTTTTTCGAAACTTCTTTTTGTTTTCTCAGACATAGCCGAGGTTTTGATACTACGAATGTTGAAATAAAGCTTTCGCTTTAAAATTGATTTTCATGTAACGAATATTCAACCATTTTAGTCTTGAAGATTCACAAAACGCAGAGCGTTTAGGTTGTGAGAAAGGTTCGAGCAAATAATTTTTTTAAAGTTTTGAGTGAAATTTGATCCGCTAAAGTAATTGGTCGGGAGTGCTTTCCTTCTGTTTTCTCCTTCCTTTTTGTCTCCATGCTTTTTCCTTGATTCTTTCAATCTGGGTATTTTTCTCGTGACACGTTCTGATGACCCTCTTCGCTGTAGGTAAAAACCCAACCGATGAGTACCTTGAAGCAATGATGAACGAAGCTCCTGGTCCAATAAATTTCACCATGTTTTTGACCCTGTTCGGTGAGCGTTTGCAAGGAACAGATCCAGAAGAGGTCATCAAGAATGCTTTCGCGTGTTTTGATGAGGATAACACTGGGCTTGTCCATGAGGATCGTCTGCGTGAACTGCTGATTACAATGGGGGATCGCTTCACCGATGACGATGTATGTGGAACTATGAATTCAATGATGCACGTACTTGACCACCAGATTTGTGCAGGTTGATGAAATGTATCGGGAGGCGCCGATCAAAAATGGAATGTTCGATTATATGGAATTCACGCGCATATTGAAACACGGTGCTAAAGACAAGGATGAACAGTGAAATGGGATGCTGTTACTGGAAGGATTTGGACCAATTCAATTCTCTGGAGAATGAAGGATGGCAATTTATTGCAACGCTGTGCTTCAGTTTCTTCCTCGCAAATGAATCGATTCCAGCGCTTTTTTTTGCATTTGTATCTGTTTTTGCACAATGCTCTGCATTCGCACATTCCACCTTCTAAACTCAGAACAGATTCTGGAATTCCATTTATGAAGTATATGCGACGATTAATGATTTTGCGGGTGATCGGTGCGATTCACAGACGTGTCGTTATTTATTGACAGTTAACCATGTTTCGAACGTGTTTTAACGAATGGTTTAATCCATGTGTTTAATCTGCGCGTGTTTTATGTGGGGAGTTAACATCCAAGAAAAAATCCGATTTTTCAACCGAAATTCGCGTGAAATTTTCGAATCTTGGAGGCTCTGCTTTGTATTATATTCTTCGAAGATAAATTCTCTATTTCGCTTACGTCGTCTGATTTTTTTTTCGAATAACATCTTCCATTGCTGCGAGTGTTGATTTAGTTTTCATTGCAGGGAAAAATTGTCAAACAGTCATGTCTGGAACCGAAATCTGCAATATGGCTTTTCAAGGAGACGTAGTAGGGCTGAAACGGAAATATACCGAGGATCCGAAGGTGTTGAACAAAAAGGACGAGGTTCGTAACTTCGAGGAAAGTCTTGGCTGTACTTTTGTTCGTAATTTCTCCTGTTAGTCTGGCAGAAAACCGATTCATTGGGCAACGAGTGGAGGACATGCGGATCTTGTTGATTTTCTCATTCAACAAGGATCACTTACGGATGAACCAGATGATGTGAGTATTTTTTTTTGCATTTCTCCCTACTTCGAATATGTGGATTGAATGTGTGATGCTTTTTAGGATGGCTGGACACCGTTGTTGATCCGTTCGAGACGTCCGTCTAACCGGTAGCACTCCTTCGAGTAGAGTGAACCACGTCTACACTTACGAGTTCGTCTTAGTCCTCCAAGAGGAAATTAAATACGGCGCAGGTTTCTAGCATGACTCCATGTTGAGCTGTAATGTTTCCCTATGAGAAATAACTTACACTACCCCTGTTATGTACCGCGCGGATCTCTCCTCCGAAAATTGCAAATGAAAAATATGAGCACAGTATTTGTCGTGTACAATTAAAAATGCTCTGGTTCTAGGGATATTATTCCTGGATGTATTCTTGAAAATCGTGGTGCGTGTTTTGCACTGGAATGAGTGCAACACAAGTACAGTATTTATTTTTCGGCTGAAATTTAATTCTTTTTGAGAGAATTGTTGCCATCATTGAAGTAATTGCATTGGAAATTTTGTGCAGGCATTCAACGCATTTGCATAAATGTAGACCAACCCCTGAGTTCAAAGATCATTTCGGTGATTTTATGCAAGTTTATGTAGTTATATGTACTCGTGGTGTTCTATTTCATCATTGTTGCTCGTCATCAGAAAATTTATTCCTATTGGATTCATAAACAAGAAGTCGCCTTGACTTGATTCGGCTCATTATAGGGAATTTTATTTTACCAAATTTAAAGTTTCTGTTTTAAATTTTTCAGATTATTGACGTGCTGCTGTCAAATGGAGCGGATCCGAATCTTCAGGACAAGAAAGGGTCATCAGCTTTACATCGCGCTGCTGCCCAGGGGCATAATGATTCCTTGAAAATGTTGGTTGGGCTGAGTAAAACTTTGAGAGTCGACGTGCAGGATCGTTGGGGAAATACTCCATTGTGAGTCTCGTTTCGCGTGCTTCACATTTCGCGCGAAAGCGTTTGATTTAATTTCAATCCCATCAAAATTTTAGGCTGAGTAAAACTTTGACAGTCGACGTGCAGGATCGTTGGGGAAATACTCCATTGTGAGTCTCGTTTCGCGTGCTTCACATTTCGCGCGAAAGCGTTTGATTTAATTTCAATCCCATCAAAATTTTGCAGACATTTGGCGTGTGAAGAAGGTCGAGATGCTGCTGCACTTCTGCTTGTTGAACACGGTGCGAAGCTTAGAATAGAGAACAAGGATGAGAATACTCCCTTGGATTTTGCGTCTCCGATACTTCGTCGTAGACTAGAAGAGTACGAAAAATGACGTGGAAATGCATCCGAACAGATATAATGATGTGCTGTTTGTTTCAATGATTGTTCCCCTTTTTTGCGTTGAAAAATATATGGTATCGTAACATAATGCTTGTTACTTTACTTCATCTACATGTGTTATCTTCTGCATAACTACCTTTGTTTCTTTGTTCTCCCGGGAACACCTGTGGGGAAGTTCTCCAATTGCAAACAAGCAGACACCTCGTACGGTGGGGATACTTCGCTCAAAATCCATGAACAGATGTGTTTTCCGTTCTCTTCAAAAGTTGAAACCACACTCTTTCAAAACTTCATGACGATTTCTCTCAACCTTTTTTTGCCTCATTCAGTTAAATTAGACGCGAAGGATTCTATAAAATGCGTTTGTCTTTTCGTTTTTCTAAGCGTTGGTGGACATGTTCAAGTTGCAACTTATTCGAACTGCTGAGAACGCAAAACCTTTTAGAGTAATTTAAGTTGCTGAAAACGCAAAACTGGTGTTAGAGCATTGTTTTCAATTTTTCATTCCAACAACAGATGTCGACTTGAGAGCATGGGGATTTTCTGCAGCAATGGAATTTAGGGAAAATTATATTTTCTACTTTTCAGTAAGCAACTTCGTACCAAAAAAAATGGCGTATGTCTTGACCAATACAAAATTCCAATAAGTCCTCGAGTGAAATTTGTTTTTGATTTTTGTTGAAAACTGATGTCAATTGATCCGATTGTTAGGTCATGTTGAAGAAGCTAGAAAAAACATAATTCCTGGCGACCGCGTTCAGAATACTGCATTGACTAAGGAAACTCTACTTCTACAAAAATATTTTAAAAGCATAAGCCCAAATTGACATTGTATTCGAAATTTCGGACCACCCGAATATTCAAATGATGGGGCATGTATCCATTGTCTAGCTGTGATAATGTCTTTCTGAGTTTCATAATCATAGGAGAACTACCACGAAAAAAAAACAACGACACATTTTTTCCTGCGTGGAAAATTTTTTTCCATGAGCGGTTCGTGGCAACCACATGCGATCATGCAAATATATAAAACTCGTTCGTCCAATTGTAACATCGCGACTTATTTCCTAAACCAGATGCGCTCATATAGGTCATTTCGCCATGGACAGCTCATTGTTCGGAATGTCTTAATATTGTTTTTCCTGTCATGTCCACAAGATTCGGGTTATTTCGAGATCTAAGAAATCTGGATCAAGATAACTCGTCCTGAAGAGGAAATGAGGCTGCAACTGCCGTATGGTCGCATATTTCTGTTCTTTTTTGCAGTATTACGGAGGTGCTCAACATTGTCAACACGCGCGAGATTCGCGAATACCTGCGATCGAAACCCGTGAATAAATCAGCAGTGAGCTTTTTGAAAATTGCGCGATATCTTCTACTGGAAGAAGTTATTCTATGTGTACTATTCTTTCCGTAGAAAATGATAATTTTGTTTTTTATATAAAATATCTTTATCATTTTTTATTAGGCACAGACGCGGTGGATGACATCCACAGTGGAATTCACAAGCGTGTGTTTCCAATATGTTCCTCAACTGCTGGAGCGCTCGTTTAATTTTCCCGCCGTCGATAACTTTCATCGCCATCATCGTCGTCGTTTTTTCCTCGTGTCCGACTTCAATATTTGCACATTCAGCCGCTCGATTGGAATATGCCGATATCTTGGGCGATGAATTGGCGGCTTTGCTTCAGCCCGACGGATTGGAAAATTATCTGGAGAAGAAAATTGACAAGCTTGAGCATGAATTCCTGGAGGAAACTGCGGCCTACAGAGTCCGACGCGCTCAGGGTTAGTATTTTCGTTTTCGTGTTTCCGCGAGAAAATTTCTCATTCTCATTCGTAAAAGTTAAGTAATCTTCAAAGAAAAAATGCAAATAAGTATTTCTGCGAACCGGAATCAGGACACAAGACAGTAAAGAGCAATTCTCCGTTCGTGCACGAAGTCAGTGATAAATTTTTACGTCCTATAGAAAATTGTTTTCCTTATTTTTTAAATGGACGTTTTTCCGTTATTTTTCTTCAAGGACGGAAAGGCTTAATTATCTTAGAGTAAATGCTTGTGAAGGAAAAACAAGTTTGGAGTCATGCTTCGATATCCCGAGGAAGTATATGAACAAATTTTCAAATTAATAATCCCAAAAACCTTACGCACTACACCCAAGTACAGTGAATGAAGTCGAAAGCGAGATGAAAATGTAAAATCATTTGTGATTTTCCTTTTTACATTTTAATGCTTCCGATGAAAAAAAAAAACATTACGAATAAAACGTTGCTTTACGTCGCCTGTCTTTCTCTTCACAATGTCGTGTGAAGAAAGGCATATTTGTAAACGAGTAGAATTATGTATTCTTCAAAAAAGCATGCATGACGTAGTTTCACACGCACTTGCCCTGAATTATACGATAGCATTGATGAATGCTTAAATGGAGGACGTGGTTCCGATCTTTGCATTTAGCATAAATCGTATGTACTGCATTTTTTTAATGGGATGGATGATTTTTAGGTATAAGTCGATTCACGCGGGGAATCATGAACCTCGGGATGGAACCCGACTCCCTGATTACACAGACACTGGAGCCCTTGAAACCCGAGGACCCCGACTGTCTTTCTTCCACTGCAACTACTGTTCGGATGAGCCAGAATCAAGCGATAATTGTAGTCGGATGTTCCGGGGAAAGCAAAGCCGTTTTGTATTCCATGGATTTCGTCGAGAAACAAAAAGGGGCAACTTTCACCAAGCTGCTCACTTTTCCGCTCCGGAATACGTCTTATCTTGTTTGCGTGAGTATAATAGGTAGAAGGAAAACAACACGTTTGTTTTTTTTTTGCATCGATTAACTTTGGCATATTTGAAATAGAATCTTTAGACCTAATTCCAGATTGCGAATGCTTCAAACAGTAAGAGCCTTTCTGATCTCATCGATCAAAGAGCTTATCCTTGTTGGGCCTTAATATAAGAATGTTTAAAAAACCAAATTGAATGGATTGAATCGCTTGAATGCATTCCAGGGTACAGTATATTATTGTGAATGTTTCAAACCGTACGAAACTTTCTGGCCTCATCGATCAGTTTTTTTTTTCTTCCGAGATCTAATTTAAAAATGTTATCCAACAAAATGATGACCTCAATCCAGCAAATTTATAAGTCATTTAAATGGCCGCAATAACAGTAAGATAATCAAAAAGAATGGCTATTAATTTTTTGATTATATCAAGTTTGGATTTTGCCGAGTTCAAAGGGAAAGTCTTTTGGACTCCTATCCTAGTTTTTTATGTACACTGTATTGTAATCGAAATAACTTTTTCCAAAGGTAATGCTTTTTTGAGACCATATACTGCAGTATATTGTAAAACTACAAAAATCTAGCTTACATCCAGTGAGTTCCCGCATAACGAGAGAACCCAACACGGAAAATCTACATAATGAAAATGTTAAAAGTAAATTACGTAATCTTCGTATTTTTTTTTACTTCTCGAATGAATTTGAATTTTGTCAGCGGGCTATTGAAGAAAAAAATTGGCTAAGGCATATTTGAGTTGATAATTTTTTTCGATTGGTGTTTAAGAAAGTTGTTATAATGTTTTTATCATCAGGGAACATTTCTGTTTTCTTTTTCAAAATAAATTGGCGGCTTATCGGGGTGGGGGCGTCTTAACTGGGTTCGACTGCTGTAAAACACTTGCTTATTTAAACCTTTCTTCACATTAGGCTTCTTTCTGGCGAGGAAAAATATTCATGGCCTTCTCCTACCCGGGGACATATTCGACCGATCTGTTCACTGCGGAACGAGACGCAAACGGAACTTTTTTCCTGGGTGCTAGCCGACAGTTCATCACGGGTTCCGGCCGAGTCTCCTGGTGCACGTTTTTCCAGCGAGCCCCTGGCGTCCTCAACCTCGTCACCACATCCGACGAGAGCACCATTGCTGGTGGCGTCCCGACTCTCTCGTCTGAGCTGCTGTAAGACCTCTCATTCTTTATTCCTCACTGTCCTTCGCTCTGTTGCTCAGCGTGCGATGGGTTTCTCAGGAGTATGGCAAATTTGACAGGAACTTCGAAGAAGCCACAAAAAAACAAACAAATTGTTTTTTATTTAGAAAATTTCCTTTGATGCAAGCGGGGTGTACATTTTCTACTTGTTTTGTTTATTTTTTTCTTTCATTGCGAAGATATTATTGGATCTCGTGATCAACGGAACAATGTTTAGGACACAATCTGCACTCGTTATTCGAACTTATGTGATCTTCCCGTATAAGGCCGTGTCTCATTCGCAATTTTCGGATGATTCGAAGACTTCTGGGAAACCCTAGCTTTATATATCATGATCCATCTCTGGTACCTACGATGGCATCTGTCCCACTATCAGAGTTGCGTGGCTTCGCAGCGCGTGTTCCGTTTATGAAAGCATTTCCTGTCACGACCCGCGACGTGACCTGAAACGGAAATTAACTGATGAGCCTACGGGGTGACGCAAAAATTTCACCCGAGCTTCTTGTAAAAACTTTGGAAATGCTTCCAGTAAAATAATGTTAAATCCCCCAGTAAAATAATGTTAGAACTCTAGAACTCCAAGTAAAAAAAAAAGTAGCAACTCCCAGTAAAAAAAAAAAAAAAAAAA